AAATAAAATCTTAAAAAAAAAAAAAAAGAAAGAAATACATTCACGGTTGACCTCTCCTCCCTCCCTCCCTTCCTTCCTTCTATAATTACTGAACACCTTTATGCCATGCCCCATGCTTGGCCCTGGAGCTTAGTGGCTCCTGCTTTCATGAAGTCTGTTATCCAGTAGACGAGATGGACAATTAGTTGTGGTCAGAGTGATGTGGAGGGTTCTGTGGGTAGGTCAGTGAAACTAGGGAAGAATTGGCTGAGGTTATGTCACTGAACTGACTTAGAAGGACAAGAAGGAGTTGGCTCAGGGAGGGAGGTGTGACCTAGACCCAGGACAAATACATAGGTCTGATAATGAGTCAGTCTGTGGTTACCGGGCATGGTTGGGATGAGCATAAAGGGAGATCTGCTTAGAACTTTCTGTCCCTGGGCAATCACCATCACTGTTATATAAAATATTGTTACACAAAGATTTCAAAATCTGCAAATGGTCTGACAAAACTCATACTATTCTCTCAGGTAAGTGCTGAAAATGTCAGTTTCGTAATAAAATAAAAGCTGATTTCATTTTTTTTTTATCTCTATTAGAGCCAGTAGAAATGATTTATTGATTTTTAAAGAAAAAAATATTTTTAAATGCCACTTTTTTTGGCATGCAACTTGTTTATGGATGTGGAGGTCTCATATACCCCAGACGTGCTTCTGGTTATTAAATGTTAACAGTTTTGAGGAAAATCAATAGAATAATCAGAAAACTCATGAAAAAGATGAATAAAGAACAAAACAATTCCATACCCTGCAGTAATTGTTATTTGTTTTTGAATATTCTAAGTTTGTGACTCATTAACTTGCCATTGGGTCCACATGTATCCTAATGATTTTGCTTTGAATGCCATAGAATTTTGTTTTGTTTTGTTTTGAATGCCACAGAAGTTGAAGCTAACACACATAAATGAAGATCACCTTCTCAGCGCCGCTCAGGTAGAACAGAACTGCAAAAGCCAGGAGTGCCTGCGGTCACCTCCTGCCTGCTTTCTGTAAGGCCCCCTGTAGCAGCCATGCTTGTCTGTGTGTTCCTGCACACTTCCCTGGCTGCAAGTCTGGCTGGACTGGAAGGCTTGGAGAATGTTTGTTCCTCGCACCCAACTTTATCCCATCAGACAAAGCAAGATGTGTGCAGCTTACCTTTCCCTTTTTGACTTGGTTATCAGGAAGCTCCTCGGTGTAGCTCTTTCCGTTTCAACTGCCACCTACTTGTTGCATGAGATCATTTGCCAGAAAAACAGTAGATCCTCTCTGACTTAAATGGAAGCCGCATAAAATTCTCTGCGGAAGTAGAGTGGTTAGAAATCATGCAAGATCAAAGAACCGTGGTTTATCACAGGGATGGAAAAGCAATCGAACATGAGCACTAGATTTCCACGTCCTCGCTATCGCAGGAAAGTTGTCAAGGTGGCTGCATGTATGCATTCTCCTAGGGTGGCAGAGGGTTTCTCCCTACTCCTTCCTACCGAGGACCCTCTCACCGGACAGAGCAGACAAGCAAGTTCGCAGGGATTTCTGTGTAGTGATTTTACAGATTACTATTATTATTACAAAATGTGACGAAATCATATTCCATGTTAGTATCTTGTAACATATATGTGATCGTTTACATAATAATCCTCAGTAAATCATTGTTGAGTGTTGTGACACCTGCCGCCGCTCTGGGTTATAGAAGCGGAGAACCCGTACCGCAGCTCGAATGCCTGAGGATCTCCTCCTCTTTGCTGTGTCTGTGCTGAACTTCCTGTGGGGGCTGGAGCTCATTACCAGTAACCGATTAAGAAAGACCCAAGGTTGTTGGGAGTCACTGAGTCTAAGCAGGGGAAATGTTTCAATAAAGCGAGGTTATCGGTGCTAAATACACTGGCTTCGCCAATTGAACACTGGGGTTCTAGATCCCTATAAGTTGCTATTTTAAAATAAATAGATATAGGGACTCCTGGGTGGCTCAGCCGATTAAGCGGCTGCCTTCCGCTCAGGTCGTGATCCTAGAGTCCTGGGATCGAGTCCCACATTGCACTCCTTGCTCAGCAGGGAGCCTGCTACTCTTCCTGCCTGCCACGTGCTTCTCCCTCGGCCTGCCACTCCTTCTGCTTATGCTCACACTCTCTCTGATTTAAAAGTAAATAAATAAAATATTTAAAAATACATAGATCTAAAATATTCCTGATGGAATGTCTAGGACCACACAGGGTGAAGGGAAGTTTAGAAGTACCTAAGAGAGCAGTGCCACGAGGAGGGGCGGGTCTGGAACTCCTTTGCACTACCTGCTTCTATGGTTTCTCTGGGCCATCGTTTCTTCATCAGAAGAGGAGGAGCTAAACCTAGAGAATTTCAACAGGTCTCACAGCTGAAAGAGAAAACAAATTTCTTTGTGGAAATTTAACTAAATTGGGATCTAATGGCATCCTTCAGGCATGTAATGATGTGTGATGCGCATTGTCTTATTTGAGCATGGAGACCTTGAAACGCGAGAGTTGTCCTTCCACTGCCAGCCAGTCTTGGGTTTGGACCCTTGGTGGCTGCTCCGCGAGAGGTCCTTTGTTTATGACGGTGCCTCTTCGGACCAACCGTCTGCTAGACGTGCCATTTGAGAAGCGAGGCTAGATGTGAGTGGGCTCGTCTGCCCTCCCCGCACCCCACCCGCTGATGATCTGTGGGACACCCCGCTCACGGGGTGGGGGGGGGTTGTGCGGGGTCACTGCAGCCCCGGTTAGGCACGGAAGCTCAGCCATGAGAAGCGTTGTGTTCCCATTCTGGAATTCGGAACTACTGTGTATTTGCTCTGTGCCCTTGAACAAGTTACTTAACTGGAACAAGTTGTTGACCCTACCTCTGCGCGGTAAAAGCCTGGAGCACTTAGAACACGTGTCTGATACATAGGAACAGCCCCAAACCGGTCAGCTGTTCTTGCTGTCTTCCTGCAAAATATGGGAATGAGCCTGCCGCCTGCCTCCGATCATAACCCTGTTGTGATCCTCTGAGGGGGACCTTGAGGGGAAGCACGGAGGGGCTCCCCGAACCCCTCTGTGTGTGCGGAAGGATGGTGTTTCAGCCATTCCTCGGAGACTGATGTTTATACTGTACTTAGAGCTCTTTAGGGAATAAAATTACCTCTCACTTTCACTAGCCTAATTCAATGTCTGACAACTTCTCTCACTCGGGAAGTTATTCTTTCTGTGTGGCTTAATTGCCTATTGTTGCAATTTCAATTTGGGGTGAAGGAAAGGATGGCGGGTCTGACTCCGAGATAAAGGGATTGCGGAGAAACAAGTGGGTTGGACGCAAGCACGGGCTCTCAGCATGCGGGTGCGGGGCTCAGGCTCGGGGGCTCAGCTGCGACACTGGGGCAGGGGGTCTGCAGGGGTGTCTGGAGGGATGGTGGGTTGCAGGGAGGTGACAGTCGGCCGTGACCTGGAATACTTGTCCCCACTCTCCCACCCACACTGCAACAGAGGCAGCTTCATACTTACGGTCTCTGCCTACTTGCATGAGAGATTTCATCAGGAGAAACAGTCCCACAGGTAAAGGAAAAATCTGAAATACCTGGAGGCCAGTGTATGTCCCCAAAAATCCACCTGACATGATCTGTCACTTGGCAACTGACTCTGTTGCTTCTTGTCTCTGTGCCTGTCTGAAAGCAACAACGTGTGTGTGTGTGTATGTGTGCGTGTGTGCAGGTGCACACACGCACACACACTGCTTCACTCATGGTGCTGGTGAGGGAGGGATGGTAAATGGGAAAATTTATTGGGAGAGGAACTTTATAAATTCAAGATGTAATTCTCACAAGACTGGAGAAAGCCCCTGTTCATGAGTTTGAGGGGATAATCTTGACCCAGCCTTGTCGGGGATGGGGGGAACCCCCTGAGAATTCATAGGAGGTTTTTCTCTCTAGCCTGGGGAATGGGGTGGCAATGACTGAAGCCCAAGTCGAGAGTAGAATTATTTGGCACAGCCCCTCCTAATGAAACAGTTTTGGAGGGAAAGTGACCAAAATAAAGGGAGTGAATACAGACCAAGCTCTGGAAGGTTTATGCCCTTGGTGTACTGGGGAGCAACGGGTGTGCAGAGACCCCCCCCAAGTCCCCCTAGATGTCAAAGTGACATGCTCAGTGTCACCAAGCATGGCATCCTGGCCTCTGTTAGACCACCAAGTGGAGTCCTGGTGTTTAGGGAGCGGCCTCAGGGGATGCCCTGGGAGGAAGAGAAGGTTCAGAAGGAAACTCTCTGCCAGCCTGACTCCAGGACATGGGTCTCAATCCCTTGCTCAAGCATGAGTGGGAGATCGATCACCCAGGACTGGCAAGTAGGAATAAGCTGTTCCCTAAAGCCATAGTGATCTAAACAGTCGTTCAGATGTTGAGGGCCCACTGCACACTTGCCTGTAAATCCCTAACGGACATTGGGTCTCTTTGGATTGGTGATGGTCTTCCCATACTCCTATGGTGACATTTAAGTCCAGGGTGAGGCCATCCCTGATTCCATGGGACACAGTCTGTTAGGCACTGTGCACCATTCCCTAACGTAGTCCTTACCACCACCTCCCCAGGCTAAGTGGCACCTTCTCCATTATACAGAGACAGACGTTGAGGTTTCAAACTGGGGGGACTCACTGATCATTGATGTAACCCTTTTCCCCTATTTCTACAACTGAAACCACACACACACACACACACACACACACATACTTCTCTTTCACATTGTTTGCTAAGGCACGAAGCAACCCTGGATCACTTAAATGAGGTACCGTCCACCCCAGTTCCATCTTTCCTCCATTTTCCTTCAACACCCGTCACCATGGACTGGCCCTTTGCTGCTGAGTGATGTGCTTGGTCTAAGTGCATCCCGCACTGGGGTGAATGGGTTAATGAGTGAGTGATGGATGGTGGTTGGGGGAGGGGCAGTGCCTCTTGGTGGGACGAGCTCAGCCCTCTTCCCACGGCTCCTGTCCTTTCTCCCCAGGGCGGCATGATTGCTCTGCTGCTGTCCATCTTGTGCCTGGTGATGATCTTGTACACTCGCCGGCGTTGGTGCAAGCGTCGCCGGGTGCCTCAGCCCCAGAAGAGTGCCAGCGCCGAGGCAGCCAACGAGATTCACTACATCCCCTCCGTGCTGATCGGCGGGCACGGACGGGAGAGTCTGCGCAATGCCCGCGTGCAGGGCCACAACTCCAGCGGCACCCTGAGCATCCGGGAGACCCCCATCCTGGACGGCTATGAATACGACATCACGGACCTGCGCCACCACCTGCAGAGGGAGTGTATGAACGGAGGGGAGGACTTTGCCAGCCAGGTCACCCGCACCCTGGACTCCCTGCAGGGCTGCAACGAGAAGGCGGGGATGGACCTCACCCCAGGTGGGCAAGTCGCTCCTCCTCTTGGGGGACTAGGGAGTGAGGAGGGAACCAGCTTCTCTACCCTGGGGGCCAGTTGTCCTGCATGATGGCATGCACCTGTGCCCTTTCCCAGGTGGGCCAGAAGGGTACACGCTTTCCTGAGACCAGGGGAGCTGTGTTCAAATGTGGGAAGTCAGAAGAACCAGTATACACTGAATCCCTCTCCACTTCCCCTTTGCACTGGAAGCAGAGATGCCTTTATATCCAACAGAAGAGTGGGTCAGGTAGAGCCTTTTCCATATATAATAGAGCAAGCCCCAGGGAAATAAGAAGCTAGCGAGAGAGATCGTGTGTGTAGGGCATTTTTGCAAGTCACATGTTTGCTTAGGTGATTTATTTATCCACTGGTGTGGAAGGGGCAGAGGTGCTGGTCTTTTCTATGACTATGAAGACCTTGGTCTGGGCTGGGAGTGGCTAGTTGTGTTGTCTAGCCCATGCCTCTGTGGTCTTCACAAGGGTCGCACTTCTTCAAAGATTAGGAATGCCGTCAGGCTGTCCGAGCCTACATGCCTTGTGTTTCTATAGAGATGCTTGGTGGAAAGGACTTGGACCTGATCGGGCTGAGCCAAACGGGGTCAACAAAATGCAGAGAGGAAATCACTGTACTTTTCTTCTACAGTGGCCCTCCTGTTTCTTTCTCTGAAATTTCCATAAATAAACAACTCCTCATAGAGAAAACCCCAAGACAGTGATCCCTCAAAAACTGCTCCATTATCTTTAAAGAAGACATTTTTCATACTGAATATTGCTGAAGATATATAGACTTTCAGTGGGGCTTGAAAAGAGGGGAAGAACATCATGGCAGTCTTCATTATGGGGAGCTTGGCTGGTCCCGTCGGTCGAACATCTGAGTCTCAGTTTCAACTCGGGTCGTGATTTCATGGGCTGTAAGATCAAGCCCCGTATCTGGCTTCATGCTCAGCAGGGAGTCTGCTTGAAGATTCTTTCCCTCTGCCCCTTCCAAACCACTCAAGTAAATAAATAAATCTTAAAAAAAAAAAAAAGTCTCCATTCTGCTTTGTATCTAGAAGAGATCCTGTATGAATAGCCCCTTCTTAATGAGATTTAAATTCTGGGAAGTCCTTGAGGATAAGAGACCTGTGGTCAAGGCCTTATATTCCCATGGCACCTGGCGTGGTGCAAAGCCCATCAGGTCCACGTGATGCTCATGGGGTTCCAAACTCTAAGGAATTCAGGGAGCAGCCAGTACTGCAAATACGAATAGTAGTGCTGTTAGACCACAGGGAACGGTGTGGACTGGAATGGAAGAGGGAGAGGGCGTTTTCTGCTTGAATGCACTCAAATTCAGCTTCTTTTGAAAACTCTGTGCCACCCTGGAGAAAGGAATCCGTTGTCTGTCTCTTGCCAGTGGGCCACATGCGGTGACCCCAATCAATTCAGAATCAGTGGACTTGGGTTTTTGGTTGTCATCTCTCTCCTTTTCTCCTCCCTCAGTTTTGCAGCCCTGCAGAAATCAGAGGTGTGTTTAGTCTCTGCCAGTCTCTCACTTTAAAGGTTCCTTATTTCAGTTCTGTGAAACTCAGGCAGCTTTCCGTGCTCCCGCTTTCTTCTAGCCTTTTCTCTGAAAGCATTTGCCTTGACTTCTCCTTCTGCAGGAAGCGACAATGCCAAGCTGTCGCTGATGAACAAGTACAAGGATAACATCATCGCCACCAGCCCCGTGGACTCCAACCACCAGCAAGCCACTCTGCTCTCGCACACCTCCAGCAGCCAGAGAAAGCGCATCAACAACAAGGCGAGAGGTATCTGCGTCTGATGGCCGGGCTTGCGGGTGATGGATTCCTTAACATCGGTAGAGGCAGGACCACTCATAGGTTGGGCCCCCAACTCTCAGGCATGGCTAGAGGGTGTGTGTTTGGGCCCAGTCTTTCTGGAAGCCTGTTGAGTGTTACTTAGCCAAAGAAACTTCAATGCACAAACCTTCTAACCAGGTAATTTCATAAACAAGGCATTTATCCTTAGGAAATAATTGGACGAGTGCACAGAGCTGTGCACAAAGGCTGTTCATCACAACATTGTTTAAAAGAGCGAAAAATTGGAAATAGCTTAAGTGTCCATCAATAGGGAATCAGTTAACTACCTGCACATCTGTCTGTTGTCCGGCGGCTTCTCATGTGGTCATTTAGGATGATAAGATAGATCCATATTTGTTCATATGGAAAGTTGCGCACCCATTTATTAAATGGGGGAAAAAAACCCCAAGACTATAAAATGGAAGGTACAGCAAAATGCCATTTGTAAGGGGAGATTAAAAAGCCTTTATCTACTTCTGTGTCAGAAAAAGACAGAGAGCATATACGTCAAGTGTGAATGGAGTTTTTCTCTGATTGACAGGCTTTAGAGGACATCGGGGTTGTTCCCTGTGCACATTTCTGTGCATTCTCTTTATTATTTTTTCCCTCTTCTCCCCACTGAATGTATATTAATTCTAGGACCAGAGAAAAGCAAAAATATAACATCTGAACTCTCGAGGAGGGAAGTTTCCCTTCCATCCCTTCCCACCCACCACCCTCGAAGGTCCTCTCGGGCAGTCCTGCTGGGAGGGGCCCATCTCGGGGTGGGGGTGAGCCCGGGCTGTGTGGGGGTGGGCGCCAGTGACCACTGTCATGAGAAAATCCACTTCTTCAATCAGTCTGTGTATCCGAAAGCTCCAGGGTCCGTGCCTCCTCCCAAATTGTCGGTCAACCTGCTCTTGTTTTTATCGATTTTTCTCCTGAACTTGCCCAGTGATTTGGTGTCACAAAGGAAAAACTGAAGATGTCGACTGTGCTGTGCTTCTTTTCATTACAGCTGGTTCTGCCTTCCTGAGCCCTGAAGGGGATTCTGGCACTGAGACAGAAAACGACCCCCAGCTGACCTTCTACACCGACCCCTCGCGGAGCCGGAGACGCAGCCGAGGTGGGAAGGTTGGAGGGGTACAGCGGGTGGCGGGGCTCCGGGCAGGGGAGCTGAGGAGCTGCAGAGGGGCTGGGTCGGGCTGGGGGCTATGTGGACCGAAGCCAGTTTCTGCAGGAAGCATGCCTTGGACCACAGCTGGTGTTTCCTCCTTAAGGAAGAAAGAAGAGCCTAGAGTGGAAAATTTCCGAGAATCATCTCTCCCAGATAATGGCACTCTCAAACAAGTTTTCAAGTTGTTTGAAAGGCTATTTCTTGGTCAGAAGACTCTCAATTCCTTCTGGAAGCCTCAGGAGTCATATTTTGCTGTTTAGACACAGGAAATAAAGTTGATAAAGTGTGTTGTATGTGAAAATGTGGACGGTATATGTCCCCTTGCTTACCTGGCCACACGGGCCATTGGGGTTGGGGAGGCAGTGGTTGGGGGGCAGGGTCGCCGAGGAATGATCTGTGATCTGTCTGTAACGGTATTTGGCCTTTCGTCCCCTCCCCGGTGGAATCATGGGACCCCCAAGCCTCCAAGTGCCCTCCTTTCTCCCGGCATAGTCCTGGGGAGCTCACACACTCTCTCAGCCCTGTTAGTGCTGTCCTCCCACACAGATGCTCCCTGGGCCCCTGCTCTTGTGTCACGTGTGGCTGTGGCAATGAGGTGCCACTGCCCGTGGCCTTGCTGGGAGCACTGTTGTCACTGAGGGAAGTCTGGGTTCAACAGGCTTCTCTGTTTACTTGCTGTGTGATATTGGAGGAGAACAACAGCTTCTCTGAGCCGGATTCCTCATATACAAAGCGTGTTAACAATACCTCACACACTGGGCTCCGATCAGCATTTAATTCTATTAAAATGGGCTCTTTGGGTGACTGGCGGAGCTCTGTGCAGCCGTCATTGTCATTGCTCCCAGATCTCTCTGCAGTGCAACTTCCTGCTTGTGCGACACTCCATCTTAAGGAATTTCAGACAGGGACCCACTGAGATAGAATGGAGGATGTTTGAGCGGCCTCCCCTTGTGTTAAACCCAATGGCAGTTTCCCCAACCCATCATCAACCAATGCCCCCCCACCCAAAGACATTTACATTTTGGCTCTCTCCTACCTCTACTCGGGTTCCTTCCACACTGAGGGCATTCTTCCCAGAGATTGGGAGCAGCCCTTTTAATGCCTCAGTTGCAGCTTCTCTAAGCTTTGCTACTATCAGGACAAAAGTCCTTCCCACCATTTTCCTCAAGAGATCAGTGGGGCTCTGGGCAGCCTAACGTCTGATGCCCCAGTATCCCTGAGGGGAGAATGTGGATCCTTGATCCTCTTTAGCTATTAATATACAGCAGATAGTGAACCTTGGCCCATCTGACCCTGAACAGGGCGTGTTCTGCTTTAATAAAATCCTGTTTAAGAAGAGCCATAGTAATGAATTAGAATGAGTTTCTTTGCAGCATCAAATTGTTCCTTTAAAATACCAAGCTTTCCTAGTCCATCAACTGTTTATTGCTATCAAGTAGACTGTAAGCTTCTTAGGGATGGGCATATCTAATTTACTTTTCCAAAGTGCCCAGCGAAGGATTTTGCCTATAATAGATGCTTGTAAGTGTTTGTTGAATTGAACTGAATACATCAATCAGGCCAGCAAATTTTATAACTCACCTGCCATAGGTCAGGCTTTGTGATGGGAGGTAGAAACATGGAAACATGGCACGGTGATAAGCCCTAATTTAATATTATAAATAAAGTAAAATGAGTACTCAGAGGACAGAACAGATCATTCTACCTGGCAGCAATAGGAGACAAAGAAGGAGAAAATAATTAGACCTGGGTTATATACAGCATATAGAATTTATTGAAAACGCAGAATCTAGGGTAAGGACAACCTAGTAAGGAAAACGGCATCTAGAAAGCCTGGAAGGCACAAAAGAACATGGTATTTTTAAGCACGTGAAAGCAGTTCTGTATGGCAGGTGTAAGAACACAGGCCACAGGGTAGTGGGGACGGGGCTGGATACCAGGCCAGATCCCCCAGGATTGCACCTGTGCCATGAGTTTGCACTTGGTCCTGTAGGTCACAGGGAACCACTGGACGTTTTGAAGCCAGGTAGAGATGCTGGATGATGGTTCGATGGTACAGAAGGACCAGGGAGGCGAGAAGATGAGTAGCAAGTCACTGCAATCACGTGAGAGCAGCAGCAAGTGCCTGTAAACAGTGACAACACCGTGTGATAAAAGCTTTAACAGCAGGGTGCTCCCAGGGCTAGAGGAGCAGCAGGGGATGAGTGAGAATCTGCTTTCAAAGGTTTCAGGGAAGTGTTTACAAGGAGATGCTGTTGGAGCGGAGACTTGAAGAGTAGGTGTATACCAGGCTGACAAGGTGACAAAATGGCATTCTGCGGAGGAGGAAATGATATGTGCAAAGTCACAGAGACATAAACGATAATGGTCTAGTGAGATAGTGGGAAGGTTTACTAGAATGAAGCCTACGGTGCAGGTTTGCAGTTTGCTTAGGAAATAAGGCCAGATGAGCAGGAGACAGCATGCGCCTTGACCGGAGGACTTGGACCTAACCCTTCAGTTGGCGCCCCTGGAGGCTTTTCAAGATCGTCTCACTGGTCCACTCAGCTTTGCAAAGGGCGCCTCTGGGGAGGCAAGGGTGGGGGAGGTTGAGGCAGGGAGACTGGGCACATGGCTCTTGCTGCTGTCCAGGTGTGCGATGCTGGGCTCGGGTCAGGATGGAGAGAATGAAGGCAAGGGAGACTCTGGACCCAAGATGGAAACATATTTAATGGTATCGGAGGAGGGGGAGGGCGTGGCCTATAGAGCCGAGGGTGGGGTCAGACAAGGTGGAGTCTCAGGGCGCATTCTGCAGGTGGTGGAAATCAAAGGAAGAGGGAGGGCCCAGCTTCTCATTCCAGTGCCTGGGGGATGAGCTTGGTTGGTGGCAGATCTCTTGCTGCTCAGGGCCAGTTTGGGCTGGAGGTAGAGATTTTAAGTGTGGGAAGATCGACCCCTTGGTGAAAGGCTCCTAAGATTAAAAGAATATCTCTAGGTAGCAAGGGACAGGGGATCCAGAGGCTGCCTGCCACTCTGTGGTGTCCCATCCCAGCTCCTGCCAGCACACCCACTCAGAGCACCTGCTGCCCTAACGGACAGGTGCAGACCCAGACCTTCCCTGCGGTCCTGAGAACAGCCCTTCCAAAGATTCCCCAGGCCCAGAGATTGAGTAGTGCCTCGTCTGGGGGATGGTGCCCCAGCCGGACCCCTGCCTCTGTCCTGGCTCCTTAGCAGCAGCTTGTCCCTGGATGTGCCCTGTCGCCTCTCTGACGGTCTCTCTGTGGAAGCTGCCTCATCAGACCATGGTCCTCTTTAAGTGACATGAGCCATGTAAAGCCCGCACACTGGCGCCTGATGCAGAATTATGCTTTGTAAATTTTTACTGTCACTGTGAGGTTGATCTCTGTGAGACTTATTTTCCTTACCTGTGAAGTGGGTAGTTACTGTCCGGACTCCTAGATTTATTCTAAGGAAGCAAATAATAAAAGTAAAATAAGGTGTGCAAAGCATTTTACCTGCTGTCTGACATAATAGATGTCTTTTATTTCTATCAGTCATAAATGCCAACACAGGCCAAACCATTAGAAAATGACAAAGGACACATTCTGTTGGCCACTTGCCTTGCTTTCTTACTTTCCCACATCTGTTCTGCCTCCGCGTGAAACATCCCTCTTATTACTACCATTTTATCCTCTGCACAAAAACCAAAAACAAAGACACACCAGGAAAACCTTCCTTCCTATTCCTGTCCGCAAACGCCTGCAAGTGCCTTCTCGGCTTCCTTCTTTGCTCACTAGGCTGCCATTTATAATGTCACCCCAGTCACTGCTGGACTGGGGGGACCCTTCAGGCATGACAACATCCTCTACACATACAGAGCAGACTTTCCTCATTCCCGGTTCTCTAGACAGAGATTGACCTGTAGGACTCCCACCCACAGAGTTTGGGAAGTTCCTCAAGAGGCAGTTGGAGAAGTAGTCTGAGCCCTGGGAGGAAGGAGCGGGTTTGTGAGAGCGCCCTCTGTGAGAAGCGGTGAGAAGTGCAGAGACTTCTAGAACGAGGTGGAAGCATCCTTACCACCCTTGGGCAAGAGGTTGGAGCTCAGTCAGGTGGGTAGCAGGGGAGAATGCCCTCCTTTATGATTTCTTTGTGAACCTGTCCCAGGAAAAGCGTGGAGAACTTGCACACAACTGATCGTTGTTGACCCCGAGGGCCATTAGCATGCTAAGCCCCTCTGACTAGAGCTGACAACACGGTGTTCCATGAGGATGAAGCTCATTGGGGTTGTGAGCTGAAACATTCTTTGCCTGGACTAGGTTTGCCCACTGCCTCCCTCCTTCTGCTGGGTTGGGCAGCAGAAGGCCATACTGGCCTCCCACTGCCAAGATTCTTACCACTGTGTGTCTTGCTTGTATCTTGCTTCCAGTGGGCTCTCCCAGAAGTCCTGTGAATAAGACCACCTTGACGCTGATCAGCATCACCAGCTGTGTGATTGGCCTCGTGTGCTCCTCTCACGTCAGCTGTCCCCTCGTTGTCAAAATCACCCTGCATGTTCCCGAGCACCTGATCGCCGATGGTAAGCTCGCTTCCGAGGATGTGGCTTCCTCCCCAAAGGGGAAGTTTTCATCTTGGGCCAGGAAGATAGAGAAGCCAGGGGTCACTGTTACTTATTACTGTAAGTGAGGGAAACACAAACCCAGATAAGTAAGGCTTAGGACACATTTGGATTGCCCACTGACAAAATCAAAATTTTTAATCTTAAAAAAACAAAACAACAACAACAATAACAACACAAAAGTCAACAGATTACCTCCTCTTCTCTATGCCCACTCCAATTTCTCATTTCTGTTTGCTTTCAAATAAGCCCCTGTCTAGGTAGAGAATTACAGAGCATGCTGGATACAGGCAGATAGACACCAAGAGATTCTCTGGCTTTTGGGAAGGGAGAAGCTAACTGGGAACTTGGAAGTGTTTAAGAACCAGCCATGCTTTGGTTTTGTATGCCTGGGTGAGAAATTCCTAATTGCAGTAGCTTGCTAAAAGCCTGGAACTCTGAAGCAATAATTTCCTTTCATCCAGGGGGACCCCAGTATAATGAGGGAGTTGTACGGGTTCTGAAAGCCCTGATTTCTTGAAGCCCAGAGAACCTAATTGACTTGTTAAAGTCTCTTCTCTCCCCGCTAGAAGGCTGGAAACAGGTGGGGACTGTCCGCGCCATTAGAGGACCTGCTCTTTGATGGCAGGTCCCTGCTCCTTGGGTGAATGCCAGTGCCTGTGGCTGGGTCTGGGTCTGATGGAGTCATGCTGTGGCCGTCACAGAGTGGCTCCGCCCAATAATTCCCTGGGCCCACCCTGATAGAGATGGGATTCAGCAAGGGCAGGAGGAGGTCCAAGTGGTTGCCCAGCCTCCAACTGCTGATCCCTCGCTCCGGGGCTCATGACAGGCCAGGGCTGGTAGGTGCAATGACCTCGGGATTGGGCCAACCTGTGGAGTGTCCCTTACTCTGTCTCGAGGGACGCTGGCCCGCACGTGCTCATGCACGCACGTGTGTTGTGTGGGTGTGCGTCTGTGTGTTGTGGTGTGTGTGTTGTGTGTGTGTGTGTTGTCGTGTGTGTGTTGTGTGTGTGTGTTGTTGTGTGCATGTCCAGGCATTCCTCTTCTCTCTCTCCCGCAGGGAGCCGGTTCATCCTGTTGGAGGGGAGCCAGCTGGATGCCAGTGACTGGCTGAACCCAGCTCAAGTGGTTCTCTTCTCTCAGCAGAACTCCAGTGGGCCCTGGGCCATGGACCTCTGTGCCCGGCGGCTCCTGGACCCCTGTGAACACCAATGCGACCCCGAAACTGGTAGGCAGGAGCACCGGGCAGCGGGTAACTGTCAGAGTTTGTGCCTCTTGCAGTCACCCCCCTGGAAACCCCGACCATCTTCTCCCGATGTCTCCATTGTCTTCGGGGGCCTCGGCCGTGCAAGCTGCCAGTGTGCGGGGCTCCTGAGCCCGTTGGCTTAGAATGTGGCATCTTCAGGCAGAAAGCCTTGGAAGTACCCTATTTGTAGCCCCCATTCTGCATCCCAGACAGGCCAGTCTAGGACGATCTCCACCATCCATTTGGCATCCTGCCAGAGGATGTCAGCCGCTGGGGCTAGACCTTTTAATGCATGTTTATTGTAGAAAACTTGGAAAATTTAAGAAAGCTTATAGAAGAAAATGATAATCATCTATAATTCTCTCTCCTGGAGAAATCACTTTAAAATCATGATGTCCTCCCTTCCGATCTTTAATCTGTGCATGAGTTTGAGAGACTTACAAGCACACTACGTCCAGTAGCTCTTTCTTGAGTTTTTCACTTCACATTCTATCGTGAAAATTTTCCAGAACCGTTAAATATTCCTCAATAACATAATTTTAATGACTATTAGGTATTCCATTGTATGGCCATATCATAGCTCATTTAAATAGTTCCCTATTCGTTGACATTTAGGATGCTTTAAATTTTTAATTTTTACAAATACTACCAAAATGAATATCTTTCCACATAAATGCAGGGCACAGGTGAAGTTAATATCTTCAGAGAAATCCTAGGAGAGAGATTACTGGGGCCAAGGGGAGAGACATTGCTCAGGCTGTCATGTTATGAGATGGGGCTGGGGCTTCCCCGAGAGGGTCCACGTGTGGACAAGACACGTGTGGGGGTACGCCCTGAGCTTGTGAGCTCCACGATCCCGAGGAGTATGGGTCCCTCCTTCCAGGTTGCTGTGCACTTTCCTTGTAGAAGAGGGTTCATCTCTAACAATCTCCATCAAGATCTGGGTCTTTTAGATTCAGTAACACAGACAGATGCTTCCCAGAGCAGCGTGATGCTCCAGAATAAAGGAAGGCTTGTAATGACAGCTAAGACACCCAGGGCAAATGTTGGGAGCGGGGGGCCAATTCCTCCAGCTCTCTGTATCTCATGCACAGCCCCTTCTCCTCCACCACACACACACACACACACACACGTATATACACATACATGCACAAATGTGCACATATACACATGCATATACACACATACATAGGCACACACATGCACACACGTGCACACTTGTGCACACACAGAGTACACATGTACATACACACATACACAGTGCACACACCTACCCCTACAGGTACATTTTCTTCAGGTGCTGGGGTGGAGGGATATTAGTAACATTTGAGTCCAAGGGACAGAGCCTTGCTTCTGTTATGATGCATTGTGGTGTGCCTTTGGGAGAGTAGCGGGCAGCTACAACATCCAAAGTTCACCTTCTTAGGTCTAAGGGCTGTTGTCACCTGGACCCGTCATAGGGATTCCAGACCCCCATATGGAAGAGAAAGTATAGCATTTTAAACATCTGATGTCTAAGACTGTGCTTGCTTACTGCTCTTCCCACGCTGTCAGGCAAACACCAAATCAAACAGATGGGCTGTGCACCATGCCCAAAAGCCAGTGTGCTCGGGAGAAAGGAAAAAAGGGCTCATCTCCAAGGCAGGGCCTCTCCGTGTGCCTGAGCTGGTCTCTGGTCCCCCCTTGGTTGACTCAGAGTGGGAGATCCTGGGACAAGCTCAGTGCTTAAACTCACTTCTGAGACAAGCCTGATCCCCAGAGGGCCTTGGAAGGTTTTCCTGAGGTTTTAAAGAACAGGAAGCACTTGTGATTACATGTGGGGAGAGAAAGGATTGGTGTTTTGAGCATGGAGGGGTCTTAGAAATGATCTCCTTTAGATCAATATGTGAATTGTCCCAAGAATGTACATAACTCACCTAAAGCCCCCTGGCTTCCCAAGGCATACAGTCTGTGTTCCATCCATCATGAAGTCTGAACACAGGTGGGATTATCAAGGGTTGTGTGACTTCCCCAGCCAAGTCAGATCCAACATATTTGTCCCTGAAGGCTATGGAAGCAGCCTTCAGTACTGAGCATGCTTCCCGAGCCAGGAGTTGGGGCGCCTGCTTGTCCACAGTGAAGTTCCCATCACCTGCCTCTTCAGTCTTCCCAGACATCTCGTTTCTAATTCTTGCTGAAAATGGCTCTGGGAAGCCCTCCTCTGCCAGTGGTTTCCCAGTCTCTGGGACGATTAACAAATAGCCAGCTGGAAGGCCAGGGGGGAGACCGCAGATAGGAACCCACACCCCACACCGGAGACTAAGGTGCAACATCTTCCTTTGGGGGAGCAGCCGAGGAAGGCTGCTGCGGAGACATTTATTCCCATTAATGCTGGAAATGGAAGCCCTCCCCCTCCCTACCCTGCTTTCTTCCCGCACATGGGATGATGTGGTCAGCCCACACGCTCATCACTGAGAAACTTTATCGCCTCCCACACTCCATCCCGGAGCCTTCCTCCAAAGAGCTGAGTGTGGGAATTGGCTGCAAGTCAAGCCGACGTTATTTTTGCATCCCTCCAGCTAACTCACTTGGAAATGTCATAGTGTTGGGACATGTGCTTTCCCAGCCATGCCGAGGGGTCTGCCCATATGGAGATGTGGAGCTGTGCAAGGGCACGTGTGTACTTCTTCACGCATGCGCTACACAAACACACAAACACACACGCTCATTCCCTGCAAAGGAGCGTCCTCGGGGGCCTGGAGCTATCCTCAGGCAACCTTCCAGAGGGTTCCAGAGTGAAGCGTGTATTTACTCATCACCTGCACTGTGGTCCAGAAGAGCAGCTGTGGTAGGCAGAATATTGGGTCCCTGACAGTGGGCTCCTCCTCATCCCCAGAACCTGTGAATGAGTTACGTTACCTGGCAAAGATGAATGGAGGTTGCTAAACCAGTGGCTTCAAAATGGGGAGAGTAGGGGTGACTGGGTGGCTCAATTGGTGAAGCATCTGACTCTTGGTTTCAGCTCAGGTTGTGATCTCAGGGTTGTGAGATCGAGCCCTGAGCTGGGCTCCCTGCTCAGTGGGGAGTCTGCTTGAGATTCTCTCCCTCTGCCCCTTGTCCCACTTGCTCCAGCTCTCTCTCTCTCTCTCTCTCTCAAATAAATAAGTGAATCTTTAAAAAAATAAAATGAGGAGAGTATCTTGGATCACCTAGACGGCCCCAGTACAATCACAAGGGTTCTTCAAAGTGGAAGAGGGAGGCAGAGGCAGCGGCCAGACCCTACGAGCTGAGACATGAGAAGGACTCCAGCAGCCACTGCCGGCTTTGAAGCTGGAGGAAGGGGGCCCGCCATAAGGAATGGGACGGCTTCCAGAAGGAAGGTGGAAAAGGCAAGGAAATGGATTCTCCACTCAAGGCTCTGAAAAGGAGCGTAGCCCTATGGACTTACTGTGTTTAGCCCTGTGAGACATATGTCAGACTTCTGACCTACAGAAATGTAAGAAAATAAATTAGTATTGTTTCAGCCACTGGGTTTGTGATCATTGTCATGGTTCCTGTGGAAACAGGAGGAGAAAAAGGGCAGAGAAAGGACAAGCGTCGTTATGCTCCTCTTTGTAGCTCCCCAGCCCTGTTTAGGGAGACCACAAAGACCCTTCAAAGACGTGTCAGGAGTCTATGGAAGAACTAGAGCTGGAGGAAGCTTGCTGATCCGTTTTCCTTCTACATTCTAGTGACACACGATTTGGGAGGGATGTGATGTAGCTAGAACTGTAAGCCTGGTGCCTGGAAGTCTTGGCCAACTGCACACTGACATTCTCCTCCCAGCTTTGTGACCTTAGGTGTGTCTCTGGCCCAGGTGGGCTAACAGCCAACCGCTGAGGTTGAATATGGCTTCGTGCCCTGGCTGAATCCAGCCAGAGATTGACTTCTCTGTGCCTTCTATGGGTTTTTCTTATGCTCGTCTGTTTGCTCACTTGCTTAGCTTTTGATGGAAACACAGACTAACCGTTTTTAGCAGCGTTTTTAACCCTCCATTCTCAGGCTTCGTTCTGCCTGTTGGGCTGCCGAGGAGGGTTCACACACCTGCTTGATTTCACAGCCCCCCCACCAGCCCTGGCCACAGACCCTCACTGCCCTTTTCAAGATATGTAGCTTTTATGGGTCTGCAAGGAGCACAGGCTCCCAAGCTAAAGCAAATTTCAGTTGCCATCCACAGAAATCACTTCTACCCCAGATCTTTCTAGAGGCCAGTCCTGGCCACAGAGAAATACATAAGATTTGGCGAGGGGCGTTGGACCAATTTTCTAGACTCAAGTCTAGCCTTCTTCCCCTTTCCTCGGTCTGAACCACTGCCTCTCTGCCTCTCTGTCTCTGTTTCTCTCGAGCTCAGTTTGGCAGGGTAGCACAGCTCCCATTTTGTACCCACTCTTTCCAGACTCCCTTTTGTGGCTCATTTAAAGCACCTTCCTTCAGGACGTACCTTGGCGTACTTCCCTCTGTCTGCCCTCCCAGAGTCATGTGGGGCTCTTTGACTCTGGGCCTGCCTCTTGCCTGATGTCTCCACAGGGAGGGAGGCCAGGCAGTTAGAGATTACCCAAGTCCAGATGTCTTCCAGAGATTTCCCTCTTTAGAGGAAGCGCAGCCCCCAATTCCATTTAATAAAAGCCAACCGCCACCTGAAGGATAGGTGTCTCGGTCTTTTGTCCCTGTCAAGTCCAGCCCAGCCGTGTCTGAGGAGCCCAGCTTCAAGGTCTTTCCTTAATCTTTTGATGAGATTTGCACCCCAGTCCCTCACCTGTGGAATGGGAAATGAGGGGAGGCACGGTGCCGTATGGGTTACTTCAAGGCGTCTGACCTTGGGTGCCAAGCACAAATCAAGGGTAGCCCTTTCCTGGCCCTCCCTGGATCACCTCCATCGTCCCTTGGTGGGCTTCTACACTCTGGCAGTGTGCTCACCCGTGCGTGTCTCCTGCAGGGCACACTCCCTCCCGCTTGGGCTCCTCTCCGTGGCCGTGACACGTCTCTCCATTGGATTCCTGCGAACACCGCCACCGAGTCGGCACGTCATGTGTTCCCCGCCATCTGTCACAGCAGATGCAGAGACTGTAACACTTCTAGCTTAGGAGGGCATCCAACACCCTTGCGGGGTCTTTAAAATTCACAGCTAACAGTCGGAGCTTGTGTTCGCACGAAACCCCTCTTAAAGTCAAGAGTTAGCATTCGGTTGCCATAGCAACTTTCCTCCTCAAGTCTGAACTCCTTTCCGTGTAGATGGCCAAACTGGTTTTGAGGAGGAAGGCAGAAGGGGGGAACGTTTGGTGGGTTCCGGAAATGAGGATCATTTGGGAGGCAGATTTTGGCTATCCTCCGCCTCTAGCCTGATATGTTTGAAAATGTCTCCGTTGCTCTGACTTTGGGCTGCACGTGACATTATACGGAGGAAAGCTTTCTCTCTTGTCAGCAGTGTCCCCACATAGTCTGAGTGATGGAACCCATAAGGAGATAATGACTTTGAAGGCAATCTGAGAAAGGTACATGCGTTTTACAAAGGGTACGAATCACCGTCGTTAGGAAAATCAGGCTCTGCGTGAACTCTGAGTTGTTAGTGCATTTATTTTTTACACGTTTTGTGGCAACTAGCTATCAAACGTGGAAGGACTCCCTTTTTTGTCAGTCCTCATTTCTAGGGCAAGGCCTCCAGCCAAGACCCCTCCGAGAGTCAGAGTGATGGGTCTGACAACCTCTTGAGGTTACTTCCTGCTTTTTAATGTTGCACAAGGACAATTGGGAGATGATCTTCTGAAGGGAGAAGGAGGTCTGTGCCCTCTACCCATTAATCGCCTTTGATTTCTCTATCTTGAGAGTGGGGGTAGTGGTGTTATTTATAAATGTAGGGCAAAATTTTAAGTTAATTAATTTTCCATTACACTCTACGAACAAAAATCGCTACTCGTGCAGAAAAGTGAACCTTTTTCCTGCCCCTGTGTAGCTTCTAGTCTTGAACCCCTGCTTTCCTTGAAATTGGTAAGATAGGAGGCCTGGCTCCTTGGTGATTTCCTTCTTTTATAGGCCTCTGGTATTTGCCTTCTTTATCTTTCCTTCTCCCAGAGAAACAGCTTTCATCTGAAAGCTTTATTATCACCTACCTAGTTTCAGACTTTGGTTTCCTGGTTCCAACCCTAGCTCCCTGATGATTCCTGGGTACAGCTCAGTAGCCCTGAAACTGGTGAATTTGAGCCTGTGGCAAATCTAGCTCATGTAAAGCCTGAGTGTCCCACACTGTCTTGTACTGACCTCATAGTCTGTGTGAAGCCCCCACAGACTAAGAAATCGCTAGTTTTCGCTTCACTCCTCAGCACCTCGAGCTAAGCAGGTGTGGGGGGATGAATATGAGTGTTATCTAGTAGTGGGCCCCGATGGGGAGTACCTTAGAGGTCCATCTTGAAAGGATGGCTAAGCTTAGATCCTAACAAAAAACTCATTTCTTTATAACCTACCCAATCCCTTCCCTCATAACTGTGGGGCCCCTTTGCTTCATTTTTGTTGGTTTTTGTCTTTGAAAAAAGAAAATAGCCCTCAAAGCTATTATTCTAGGTGTATCCTTTTCTAAGTGTCTCTTGCTCTAGAAAGATGAAGGAACTGTATGCCCCTTGTCTCCTTAGGGCAAGCCACTTTTGTGATTTACAGATTAAAGGAAGTCACACCCTGTTCTTTTACACGACGTGCAAATTAACCAGCCAGTGAAGAGTTAACACTAGTGCTGTAGTAGGACTGGTCTCAGCAGTTTAGGGATACATAACATTACATAACAAATTATTAATATAAGGGAGCAGGAGCAATTTTTTTTTCAAGATCAGCGCTAAGGCAGGCAATGATTCTTAATCTTTGGGGGGTCTTGAATTTGCTTGTAAATCAGAAGAATGCCATGGAATCCTGCTGTGGGAAGACGCACATACATGCATATACAGTTTTGCATACAATTCCAGAGGGGTTGTGAACCCCTTGGTGTATTAATGGAGTAACTAGTGGTAATGAAGCAGAGCAATATAGATAGAGAATTGTGGGAGGTTCTTCTGTTTAACAGCTCCAAAATCATTAGCCATTTTCATTTAAAAACAAAAACCCGGAGTTCCTACAAAAACCATAATAGGTATGAGTGGCCTCCTTGAACCATGTGGTGGTTCTGTGGGTGAACAGCATGGCGTGGTGGAAATTAAGGTCCAGAGTCAGAGTCATAGATTCAAATATTAACTGCACTTTATAAGCTGTCTCTAGATCCCTTCATTTTTCTGAGCCTCAGTTTCCCCTATCAGCATGGCATAGCTAATAATGCCTACTTTTCAATTTTCTTAGAAATATTTGGTGAAATAAGTCACTTAGGTGCTCTTTAAACACTCCTTGCTCACCTAATAGGTGTCTTGCAGGAGACGGGGCACCAGGCAAATAAGGATGAAAAAGCCCTTTTGCTCAAAGCGTTTTGGTCTTTGTTTTTACGGAGCACATTTGTAGGTTCTTTGTAAATGTTGGGTTCCTCTACTAGTGAAACTCAGCCCATGGTAGCAAATGGAGAGATGGAGGGTGTGTTCATTCACGTGGGCGGCAGAGATGGGGATGTGTGGCATAATGGGATTTATTGTTTCATCCACACCACTATTAGAGTCAGAGTTTCATGTAATCATTTCATATTCATTTTCTCGAACAGACATGTTAATCAATTGCTTCCTGTTTTTTCTTCCTGCCCTGCTTCTAAGGGGAATGCCTCTGCTACGAAGGTTACATGAAGGATCCTGTACACAAGCACCTTTGCATTAGGAATGAATGGGGCACAAACCAGGGGTAAGTGCAGGGGATGGCAAGCGAGCCAGTCCCAGCTGTCACCCTTCTTCGCGCAGACAAGACGCGGAGAAATTGCATGGAGGGGAACGCAGCTAAAGGGTGGTTATATTCTGAATCGCAAATGGGTAAAAATGTCACTGTGCATTTCCATATTTATACCATCCCAGTGACGTCCGTGTCATCTTTTTCTCCATTTATGAGTTCAGAGATGATGCCTCTGACTCGCAGCCCCACAGCCTCCAGCTGGGATCTGAAAAATCAAGCTGTCCCTGCCTTCTTTCTCGTTCCACCGCCAGTCACCAGGCTTCCACAGGCAGAGCTTAGCTGAGGATTTTGTTGGAGAGGCACGAAGCCGCGCAGGCTCCCCTGTGGCTCTCCCAGAGCTCGAGGAGCTTTGAGAGACGGACATGAGGAGAAACGTAATTTCCCCACCTCATTTAGCAAGGGTGACATGCGGGAGTGCTCCACAATGAGTCACAGTACTCCTGCTAGGTCCCCAGTCATCCTTTCTTCCTGAGACCTTTGCTTTCCCCCAAGCACACGTGACTGGGATAAGAGTTCCCTTGTCTTGCCTTGTCCTTTTATTATTATTATTTTTACATTAAAAAAATTATTGTGATAAAATCTACATCCCATAAAATTGAGCATTTCAGTCATTTGAAGTGTATGATTCAGTGATCTCAGCACGGAGATCATTCACATGGCCGTCAGCCATCAGGACTGCACGTCGTCCTTTGCTTTCTAGAGGCAACTTTCTACTCTGTTTTGGGTGCCAAGAGCTTGCTTTCTGCATTGGCTCGTTCGTGGAGCAGGGTGAGAAGAGAAAGGGATCAGTAAACTCTAATAATAGCAGTCGATGGAACAGGGAACACTAGAAAGAAATCAAGGCACAAGCCACCTGAGAGTGATTGCTTTTGTGCAGGTTGGAAATGTGTTTGCAGCCTGACAAGGTGGAAAAAAAAAAAAAGGCTCCACCATCATTTCATACATTACCATGGAGCACTGCTATCCCCGAGGTCGATGATCTGCCCCCTTTGTAGGATTCTGATGAGACCAAGCCTAGAATAGTGAGTGTAGTTCTGGACTCTCTCAGCAATAAAAATGGAGACAAATGGGTGAGAGTTTGGAGAAGAGCAATAAAAATGATTGAAGAGCCCAAGGGAGTGATTTATGATGAAGGATAGAAGGACTCAACTCGGAGAACTGGTCAGCTGATGACTAAGTCAAGGTATGATAGATGCCCATCGATGTTAGAAGAGTGCAAATGTTCTGGAACAGGTTGAGGTTGAGGAATAAGGACAAGAGAATGAAGTTAGGGGAAGGAAATCTGAGTCACAGGTCAGAAAACTTGAGGAAGTCAAAATGCCATGAAATTTTTCTGTTGGTGGAAATGAAGGATTGCCCTGTTTCCATTGAACTTGAGATCACATCAGAGAGGCAGTCCCCCCGATTTGGAGGAAGATGTTTGTAGAAGGGTATAAATACACGTGAGGTTGTGTGTTGTTGAAAGACGGGTGGGGAGGGCCGAGGACTTGGCTGATAGATGTCGGGCAGGGTATGAATACAGAGACCCATGCGCTGTTTAGAGTCACCTTAGTCCCCTCCCTCTCTGACCCCTGAAACGTTTGCATTGCAGATGGGGAGCCAGGATTTTAGCCCTAGTGATGGCCGAGCATCTCGGTTCACCATGATTCTGAGTAAAATGTTGTAAAGGGTGATGGATAACCAACTCTCTATCATTTAGCCTGCAAACGTGCTGCTGAAGAAAATGACAAAATATAATTTTGCTTTTTGCCCTGAATGATCCAGGCTGGCCCTCTGCAGTGATTGGATTTGGTGGCTAATCGCTCAAGCCTCCATGTCCCTCGCCTTGCAGACAGATCATGAGAGGACGGGCCTGGCTTCACTTGGTAATTGCACAAGCGTTCATCATCCCCTCTGGCTGCGTTGTAGAGGCAGTCTTAGGATGTAGACAAGAGCCTCCAGGGACTCAGTGGAGGCCCCATGTTGGTGTCATTTAAAATAAGACAGGCTAAAGCACCGAGTTGCAGACTGACAGGCACATTAGCCCCAGGAAACAGACAAGGAGACCTAATCTGTCATTTCCATCTCTAATTTCCATTATTCTCTGATCATCACTGTCTGCGAGGTCTCGTTTTGGACACTAATAAAATAATGGAGCAACTGTTAGAAGGGAAAAAAGTGACTATCTTGGGGATAATGGAACCAGGAGTGATAAGCAGCATGGGTTTATATGTATATAAAAAATGCCAGACAAAAGACTGCATTTCCCTCATAAAATGACAAGATAAATGAAAAGTGGAGGATGCCATACATCTTGATTTAAATTGGGGGTCTGATGCCACGTTTCTCTAAATGATTCTTACAAAATTAATCGAAATTGATTTGAACGTGAAGTCTGTCACTTGAATGGAAACCGGCCTGACAGATTTCCAACTAATGATACGTATTGGGGTATTATGGAAAAATCGATGGCGGGCCTGATTTTCCTGAATATTTAATGTTCCAGAAGTCGAAGGGAAGCAGCATGTGTAGGTATTTATATTTTTCACCTAATATCCTTGTATTGCATACATAAAAATAGCTGAACATTCTTTTGAAGTAGAACAAGCAAATCCCAGGCCAGTGATATTGAAAATGAATTCCCCTGTGAAAAATCTAGGTTAATGTATGAGGAGAAAAGTAGCAATAAGCTTTCATGACTTTCAGACAAGGAAGAAAATTGATTAAGGACATTAATACAAAAAATTACACCTCCAAGTTTACCCAGCCCCTCCCTGGTGCTCCAGGTTACTGAGACCGTGTGTGCGTGTGCACCTTTGAGCCGGTGTGCGTGGGTACGTGGTATGCGCATGCGTGGTGTGTGTGTGTGTGTGTGTGTGTGTGTGTGTGTGTGTGTAGGGGAGCAGGTTTATTCATACAGATGCTCTCAGCCCTGCACACCATCATTCATGTGCTCACTCATTTACGTTTTTGGCAAATACTCAGTTGATTACCTATTGTGCCAGGATAAACTAGATTGCTAATTAAAAGATGTGGTCTCTGTTCTGGAAAAACTACCAGTCTAGATAGATAATGGGTACATAAGAGGAAAATGACAATAAATTCTAAAACCTATTAAAAGAAAGAAAGGTCTATGTGATTACAGTTGAAGGGGTGACTTAGGTGACATCTAAGAACCTAGAATGGAATGTTATGGAGAAATTTCGTAGGCTGATCAAGGAAATTCTAAGCAAAGGGAACAGCATATGTCAGAGCCTGGAGACCTAAGAAGCATGACTTCTCTAGGACTAGCAAATAAATAGCCCAGTGTAGCTTAAGAGTGCAGTTTACAGAGACAGGAGAAGAGATTGATAAAGTGGGTAAAGCCTAGCTCTGGAGGAGCTCTTGCTTTCTAAGGCTTTGGATGCTGAAATTCCATGTAGGTGACCCTAAAATTGTTAGCAGAGGGGAGAAGTTCCAAGCTGTCTGTATATTTGGTGGAATCGTCCCTCACTATACGTTATCATTCTGGGTCCTTCAAAATAAAATATGGCACCTGGGTGGCTTAGTCAGTTAAGCATCTCCATCAGCTAAGGTCATGATACCCGGGTCCTGGGAATGAGTCCTGCGTTTGGCTCCCTGCTCAGTGGGGAGTCTGCTTCTCTCTCTACTCCTCTGCCCTGCTTGTGATCTCTCTCTCTCTCAAATAAATAAATAAGTAAAATCGTTTTTTAAAAAATTACATAAATTAAAATAACCCTAAAAAGAAAACAAAAAGCAAAACAAACCCACTCAAAACCTCTTGAGACTATCTAAATTTGTATTTATCTGGATTCTGTAAGTAAAACCTAGTCCTAACATTATTCTGTAGATAACAAGTTTTTAAGAGAAAACAACAAAGAATGACAGAATCAGGCACCATGTGTGTGAGGCATGTGAGTAATGGGGGTTGCAACCATTTCTTGGTGACTCTGGTTCTGCCAAAAATGCCATGTTGAGAAATGTGTGAGTGGATCTGGGAGGTGAAGCTAGTCACTGTTGTGAACCCAGGTGACTGGGTCAGGTCACCAGTTGTAAAATTACTGAATTCATTATATAAGAAGCTCCTATTCACTAAAATTTAAAAAAAAAAAAAAAAAGGCTTCCAAAAGATTTAAACAAAGTCACAGATGACAGATTTCTAATGAGTTATTAAAAGAACATGGGATATTTGAAATTATATTTTTGGTCTTCACGGTTGGCAACAAAATCAATCATTTCCTGCCACAGCATTCCTGGTGACAGAGTTGTCCCACAGAGGACTTAGGATATAAAAGGGTCCTACCCCCAGCATGGGGCTTTACCAGGTCTTCTGTCTAACCTGCCATGAATTCACTAGAAATTGCTCAGCCTCCTATCATTGTGGCTTTATAGATACAGAGAGAGACTGTTAGAGTATATATCTAGTATTTGCTTGACAACAAGTACAAGTTGAGAATTCTAACAAGAAATGAAACCAATAAATGAAGGTGAAGGAAGCAAGAGAGATTGATTTACAGGAACATATTATAGAAGAAAAAAAAATTTATTTAGCTCCTTTGGAGATTATTAAGAAAAGCTATCAGAAGTTTTTTGTTGTTGTTAAATTAAAAGTGTACCCCAGGGGCTTCTAGCTACATTTTTCAGAACACCCCATTACATAAAATTCATGCATTTGAATATTCTTTCTAAACAATAGTCTGATTTCTTATTCTGGATTCTCAGGTACAGAGGGCAACACCAAGGAGATTTCTCACTAAAGGACCCTGGTATATCACTAGATTTCCATGCTGAAGGATGGTGATCAAGTGATAATTCAGGAGACGGGAAGAGCTGGCAATGGGAAATGAACAGGTGTTCTCTGTGGTTTTAGAAGCTGTTGTCAGGAATCAGAACCTTCTCTCACTGCCTACTCAGGAGCCAACACGTTTACCATCATATCCCCAGATAAGGACACATGTGCGCATGTGCGCATATGC